TATAATAGTTAAGATTCCAGAAACCCAACAGAAGAACAAAATTCTACAAGCAGTTAGGAAAAAGAAGCAAATCACATACAAAGAAAGCCCATCAGAATCACACAAATCCACAAGGCAAGAAGAGCATGGAGTGATGTATTTCAAGCCCTAAAGGAAAACAACCTCCAACCCAGAATGATGTACCCTGCAAAACTATCTTTCAAAATGGATGGAGAAATAAGATACTTTCATGACAAAGAGCACCTGAGGAACTTCATGAATAGTAAACCAGCACCCAAAAAAATTTTAAACAATATCCTAGGAAAAGACAATGACGATCACAACCCCAAGAAGCCCAGCAGAATGAATCCATCAGTCACGACAAGAAACTAAATGCAAAGGGGGAGAATCCAACAAAAAGATAAAGTCATGACAAGGTTAAGTCAGTATGTATCAGTTATAACCATCAATGTCAGTGGTCTCAAATTACCAATTAAAAGAAACAGGCTGGCAGAATGGGTCAAGAAGCAAGATCCAACAATATGCTGCATACATGAAACACACTTAATTCAAAAAGAAATTTACAGACTGAAAGTTAAAGGGTGGAAAACAATACTGCATGTGACAGGAATCAAAAAAAGAGTAGCAGCTATCCTTTGCAGAGCAAGTGGATTTCAAACCAACACTGATTAAGAGAGACAAAAAAGGACACTAGATCCCTGTAAAGGGAACAATCCAAGAGGAAGAAATGACAATCATAAATATATATGCACCAAACACTAGTGTATCCAATTATATAAAACAAATACTAATGGACATGAAAAATCATATAAGCACTAATACAACAGAAGTAGGAGACCTCAATACCCCACTGTCACAACCAGACAAAAAATAAACAATGAAATAGTAGGACTCAATCAAACTCTTGAACAAATGAACTTAACAGATGTTTAGAGTGTTCCACCCCACAAAATCAGAATATACATTCTTTTCAGCTGCACATGGATCCTTCCCCAAAACAGACGACATGCTCGATCATAGAACATGTTTAAGTAAGTGCAAAGGAACTGAAGTTATCCCCTGTATATTATCAGACCATGGTGTGATGAAATTAGAGATCAACAGCAAAAGAAACTGCAAGAATTTCATAAACATATGGAAATTGAGCAACAGACTTCTGAATAACCAATCAGTTACAGAGGAAATTAAAGAAGAAATCAGACAGTTCATACAATTAAATGGCAATGACAATACCACATATTGGAATCTATGGGACACAATGAAAACAGTCTTATGAGGGAAATTCATAGCAGTGAATACTCATATTAGGAAAACAGAGCAAGTTCAATTACACAACCTCAAGCTTCTAGAAAAAGAAGTGCAGGACAAACCCAAAGCTCATACAAGGGAGGAAATGATAAAGATCAGGTCAGAAATTTATGCAATGGAGACTAAGAGAATAATACAAAAAAAAAAAAAAAAAAAAAAAAAAAAAAACCCAATGAAGCCAAGAGTTGGTTCTTCAAAATAATAAACAAAATTGAGAAAACCTTAGCCAACCTTATCAAAAAAAAGGAAGAAAAGGCCCAAATCCATACAATTAGGCATGAAAAGGGTGAAATTACAATGGACCCAGAAGAAATCCAGAGGATCATCAATGCCTACTTCAAGAAACTGTATGCCAATAAGATGGAAAATACAGAAGAAATGGACAGATTCCTAGGTACATATGAATTACCAAACTTTAACAAAGACGACCTAAAAATTCTACATGACCCAATGGCAACCAATGAAATTGAAAATGTAATTAAGAACTTACCAACTAAGAAAAGCCCAGGTCCTGATGGCTTCACTGCTGAATTCTACAAGACATTTAGAGAGGAACTACTGCCACTCCTGTTTAAACTCTTCAGTGAAATTGAAAGGGAAGCAATACTCCCGAATTCAGTCCTGGAAACAAGCCTCACCTTGATTCCCAAAGCAGAGAAAGACCCAACCGAAAAAGAGAACTGCAGGCCAATCTCACTAATGAACACAAATGCAAAAGTATTTTGTAAGATACTCGCAAACAGAATGCAGGGCATAATTAAAAGATCATACACCCTGACCAAGTGGGATTCATCACAGGGATGCAGGAATGCAAATCAATAAATGTTGGGCTGGGGATTTAGCTCAGTGGTTCTGTTACCTTCCTCACTAGCATAAGGTCCCAAATTTGATCTCCAGTAACAAAAACAACAACAACAAAAAATAAATAAATAAATGTAATATACTATTAATAGAGCCAAGAATAAAAACCATATGATCATCTCAGTAGATGCAGAGAAAGCATTTGACAAAATCCAACACAATTTATGATAAAAACTCTCCAAATAATTGGACTAGATGGTCTCTACCTCAATCTGATAAAAGCCATCTATGAAAAACCAACCGCCAATATTACACCAAATGGTCAAAAACTGAAATCCTTCACACTAAAATCAGGAACAAGACAAGGTTGTCCACTATCACGACTTTTGTTCAATACAGTTTTGGAAACAAGCCCCAGAAGTTAGACAAGAGAAAGAAATAAAAGGAATAAAGATGGGAAATGAAGTGAAATTGTCATTATTTGCAAATGAAATGGTACTCTATACAGAAGACACCAAGAACTCCACTAAAGTCTTCTAGAATTAACAACCACATTCAGTAAAGTAGCTGGATATAAGGTCAACATACAAAAAATCAACAGCTTTCCTGTACATGAAAAACAAACTCACAGAAAAAGAAGTGGGACAATTCCTTTCACAATAACAACCAAAAATTGGAAATACCTAGGAATCCACATAACAGAAGAAATCAAAGATCTCTACTCTGAAAACAACACTAAAAACAGAGAACGAAGAGTGTATCAGGAAATGGAAAGACATCCCTTGCTCCTGGGTAGGAAGAATCAACACAGAGAAAATGGCCATACTTCCAAAACTGCTATATAGATTCAATGCAATCCCAATTGAAATCCCAGCAGCACACTTCACAGACACTGAAAAAACAATCCAAAAATTAATTTGGAACAAGAGACCCTGAATAACAAAAGCAATTCTAGGCAATAAAGACAAGGTAGGGGGTATCACAATCCCAACTTGAAACTATACTACAAAGCTACTGTGATAACAACATGATCCTGGCAAAGCAACAGACCTGAGGACCAGTGGAACAGATTAGAAGATACAGAAACAAGTGCAGACACACTCAGCCACCTCATCTTCAACAAAGGAGCCAACCATCCTCACTGGAGGAAAGAGACCCTCTTTAATAAATGGTGCTGGAAAAACTGGGTTTCAATTTGCCAAAGATTAAAACTAGACCTGTATGTCTCACCATGCACTAAACTAAAATCAAAATGGATTAAAGATCTAAATATTAAAACAGAAACACTAAACCAGCTGGAAGAGAGATTAGGTAGAACTCTTAAAGACATTGGTACAGGAAAAGATTTTACGAACAAAACCTCAGTTGCCCGTGAACTAGCACAAAAAAAAACAACAAGTGGGATCTCTTCTTATTAAAAAGCTTCTGCACAGCAAGAGAAACAACCAAGTGTGAAGAGACAACCCACAATGTGGGAAAAACTTTTCAGCAGCTCTTCCTCAGACAAAGGTCTACTATGTAGAATATATAAAGAACTTAAAAAAAAACCAGACCTCCCAAAATTAATCCAAAAATGGACATTTCTCAGACAAAGAAGTAGAAATAGCAAATAAACATTTGAAAAAATGTTCAACATCACTGGTCATTTGAGAGATGCAAAGAAAAACAACACTGAAATTCCACCTCACCCCAGAAAGAATAAAATCAACCAACAACAAATGCTGGTGGGGCTGTGGGAAAAGAGGAACCCTGCTCCACTGCTGGTGGGAGTGTAGACTGGTGCAACCACTGTGGAAATCAGTGTGGAGATACCTCGAAGAAAAAGAATTGGAGGTCCCACTTGACCCCACTATTCCCCTGCTGGGTTTCTTCCCCAAAGAATTAAAAGAATCACACCACAGTGATAGATGTGCACCCATGTTCATAGCAGCACAATTTTAAATAGCTAAAACTTAGAAGCAGCCCAACTGCCCATCAACAGGAGAATGGATAAAGAAAATATGTTTTTAAAAAAAATAAAATGGAGTACTACTCAGCCATAAAGAATGAGAAACTAGAGACATTTATAACTAAACAGATGCATATTGAGGGGATACTCTTAAGTGAAATAAACAGGATGCATATGGGTAAATACCAAATAGTTTCTCTAGTGTGCGGAACAAAGTGTAAAATAAGGACTAAAAGGTATAATAGATAATGTGAAATAGGAAGAAAAGGTGCAAAGGGGAAGGGGAAATGCGAGGGGTGGGGGAAAATAAAGATGGGAATGGAATTAACATGAGAAAAAAATGGAAACAAAGTCTTTGCAGATAGGGAGAAGTGAAGGGGTTGAAGGGAGGGCAGGGGAGTGGGGAAAAAATAACCGAGATGGATTATGTAAAGGTGCAAATTTCCAATGATGAATTATATTTTATACCTTAAATGTACCAGTAAAATTAAAAAAAAAAAAAGAATTACTTATGTGAACGGATTGTACCACAAATCACAATTTGCTTATCCACTACTGTCAGAGTATTTGAGCATGTCAAAGTTCGTTCTTTTTCTCCCTCTTTTTCTTTTCTTCCTCTCTCCCTAATAAAACTTTCTCTCTCCGTCTCTGTCCTCCCCCCAACCTACCCTCTTCCTGCACCTTCCTTCTACACCTTCCGTAAGAGGACAGTTTGCCCAGGCTAGATTAATAGCACAGCACCCTGCCTCAGCCTCCTGGAGTGCTGGAATTACAAGCACGTACCACCATGCCCACTGAATCTGTACTTTCTTTTTTTTGGGGGGGGTACAGGGGATCAAACTCGGGTCCTTGAGCTTGTGAGGCAGGCACCAGAACCACTGAGCTTATTCCCAGCCCTGAGTCTGCATTTTCAAAGTCACATCTTCAGCTGTATCTTACTTACTGGAATTCCTCCATGAGACATATAGAGGTTCTCCGGGCTCCTGATGAAGGTTGATATTATCCCATAGCAGCTGAATATATACAAGTTTGCTATCCTGGGACAGAGACAACAGAGGAAGCTAAAAGTGATCAATAGAAAATATTAGTATCCCAAACAATTATCCTGGATCTAGCAATCTGCATAAAACAAATGTGTTCTCTCAAAATCCTGGATCTACAATTCTAAACAAAAATTTTTAAAATTTCATTAATATCTGATGATAAACATAGGTTTCTTTTCTTCCCCTACCCCTTCTCGGTGTCTCTGAGTATGTGGGTGTGTATGGGTGTGTTCCACTGGTAAGTAAACCCATTGCCTCATGGAGGCCCTCAAGTTTTATTTTGAGATAGGGCGTCACTAACTTGCTCAGGTCAGCCTCTAGACAGCCTCCAGCCTCAGCTTCTCAAATAGCAACCTTTATGCTTGGCTTCACTTACAGGTTCTTGGTGGAATGACAACTTGATAACTGGCACAGTAGTCACATACAACATTAACTAACCATCGATCATTACAGGAAGACAAAGTATAAGTTCTACTCTCTTACCAAGTAATTTTGTTTCATCTACTCTACTCAAAATAATGAGTCAAATTACAGTTTATAATACTGTAAGAGTGAGTTGTGCTCCAGCTGTATTTGTGATTTGGTGTTTGTCATCATTCACCCTAATAAAAAATACTGTAGTCCAATGGAATCAGAAATCTCAGTGGAAGAGTAACTGGAGCTATCAGAGCTAGGCAGTTGGATGGTGACATTAACTTTCCCTCACTTATTAGGCATGTGACCTTACAGAAATCACTTGACTTCTCTGACTTTTAATTATAGCACCTGAAAAATAGGGATAATAGGAGTCCCTTTAAATGAGGCTGTGGGGGGATTTCAGTGAGAATATGACCATCTCCAGCTCCTCTCAGCTCTTTGTGACTACACAACCATGCTTGGACCACAAAGATACGTGTGGAAACACGTGAGCTGTGTGTAAGGAAGAAGACACACCTTCCTCCATCCCTTCTTCTCCTTACTGCTCACTGAAAACAGGAGTGAGTCTGGAGACAGTGTCAGCTATCTGTACTAAAGCAGAACTCGGGGAAAATGGAAGTCGCACACAGAGAAGCAAAAAGAAGAACGTCAAGTCCCTGCACAGCATTACCTGTGAGCTTCCATTCAGCCTCTACTGCAAGAGGGATAACCCTCTAAGTGTCGAGCTCCTGTTTTTATGTACTCTCAGCAGCGTGAAGCCTCACCCCAGCTGCACCAATCCAGCGCAAGCAGAGGAGTTGGTCCCTACCTGGACACCTTCGTTACAATGCTCAGATGTGAGGATAAGTCCTGGCAAGTTACTCGGAAGGTCCAAGCGCCTGAAATACCAAACGAGGTTCCAGAAGATGATGGGGTGCTGGTTGATGAAAGAGGAGGAATGGATCACCTGGTCGCCTTCATTTTCTAGCAAAGATTCAAGTTCTTTACGAAGCACAAGGGGACTCAAGTAAGGCACAGAAACAGGAGAAGGATTGGGCCTCTTTCCTAGAGGGTCCTTTTGAAAAATACAAAAAGAAGTAAATGGTAGCTGTTAAATTTTGTGTGCTTAACACTACTTTTCAATGAGATGTTTCTCTATCCTGTAAAATCAATTATTGCAAGATCATGTGGTACAATATCCTAACAGTTCATACTTTTGAGACAACTGGAAATTTGAGCCAAGACTGAATAACTTAATACCTTTTTATTTTTTTAGTAAAATAGCATTGTGATATTTTTTTAAATGTTCAGACACATACTGAAATATTTCCAAATGAAATATAAGTTGTTTGAAGGGAAAGAAAATGAAGATTTATGGCCAAAAATTGAAAATTCCTGTAGCTAGATGAGTCAAGAGACTCCATTATCCATCTCTGTGTTTGTGCAGATTTGATATCCTCCGTATTAAAAAGCTTAAATACTTGTTTATGGAAAATTGTTCATCACTTTTCATGTCATTAAACTGGGTATACCTGAGAAGAATAATGTGCTACTATTAAATATAAATGGGAACAGGCAGTATGATTATAGTGACTCATACCATAACTTCCTGCAGACTGTTTGGAAGACTCACTGTTGAAATACCATGGAACGGTCGCTGGGAGAAGTCAATGCTCTGCAAAGGACCTCCAACACTGTGACTTCGAGTCAAAGAGACACTTCGCTTGGATAAACTGCTAGGCACTGATGACATTGTCACAGTCTGGACATCTCCACTGGCTTTCTTCATTGTATCACTTTAAAAATGCAGAAGAATGGCTGTGTTAAAATCTCTACAGACAGTAGTACCTGCAATGGACTTTGAGTCTATTACATGTATCTAAGAAGAACCAGCACCACCTTTAGTAACTAAATTTGGGGCTGGAAGCATAGCTCAATAATAAAGTGTTTGGGCCGGGGATTTAGCTCAGTGGTTCTACCGCCTGCCTCACAAGCGCAACGATCCGAGTTCAATCCCCAGTACCAAAAAAATAATAATAACAATAATAATGATCATAAAGTGTTTTCCCTGCAAGTGGGAGGACCTGAGTTTGTCCCCAGCACCATGCCCTAAAGAAAGAACTCCACTTTTTTCTAGTACTTCGTCAAACTGATCAGAAGGACAAACTGACTGAAGATTGGTGAGGGGTGGGAACAGGACATATGGTACACCTTAAAAGACTAAGTAGCCATTCAGCTGCTTTTCTGAAGCATTATTTCATTTTTATTAAATAAAATCTTCCAGGGCCGGGGATTTAGCTCAGCAGTTCAGTGGCCTGCCTTACAAGCGCAAGGACCCAAGTTCAATCCCCGGTACCAAAAGAAAAAAGAAAAAAAAAAAACTTCCAGAAGTATACTACCACACGCGAATGAGTAGATTCTCTGCTGTTTAGTCTCTACTAGGCTACTAGCCACTCAAGGATACAGACCAGGAGTCCTCTACTTTTTTTTACTTTTAGTGCCATATATAATGCTTAGCACACAAACAGGTTTGCAACAACTGTGTGACTCAACCGATGCTGAGGAGTAAAACATATGCTTACACTTTACACTAAAGAGAGTATGTCTCTGACAACTGGAAATGACTACACAAAGAAGAAAAATTATTTTGTCCTGTTGAGAAGTTCAGTTTGTAAGATATCACTGAAAAGCATCTGACTTGGTTCAGAAACGTTTCATCAAGCCAGGACGGTGGTGCACGCATGTCAGCACTCTGGCAGGCAAGGGCAAGAGGACTGCCAGTTGGAGCCCAGCCTGGGAAAACTAGTGAGCTGATGAGAGCCCCTCAAAAGCAAAAGATGAAAATGGGCTGGGGTGGCACTCAGTGCAAAGGCTTTTGGTTGAATCCCTTTTATCAGATTCCTGCATTCGATATTAAAATACTATGTGGTAGTAAAATGTCAAGATTAAATCTCTTACATGCCGAAACCTATGCCAAGTTGTCGTTGCTGTGTTTTTGGTACTGGGGATTGAACTCCGGACCTTGCGCTTGTGAGCAGGTGGTGGAACCACTGAGCTAAATACCAGCCCAGGATTTCAGGTCTTTACAAGGATACTCAATTTACTATAAAGACTGATATGCATCTTTCGGCACCTTGACTCAGTGGGGCAGCTCGTCTCTTCAGTTACAGTCTCACTATGTTTCGGGAAATCCATGAAGTTAATCAAGTCAGGCTCTGCTGAACTGCACACAGCTTTGTGCTCCAATGGTTCACTTGCCAGTGGAATGCTGGCACTCTGTAAACTGTCACCAGAGGTACTTGGCTTCAAGAAAAAGCTAGATAAGGAGAGGAAAGGGGAAAAAGCCATTATGACTTAATGGTAAAGCAGTCCTTAAGAATTAAACAACTTGTAAGGGAAACACTGCCTGTTTCAAACATATACACACTTCTGCTCTCAATTCCTCTCTCCTATCCAGTCTAAGTAGTCCAGTATAACACTGCTGCAGTATTTGAGAACTATTAAATAAAGCTATGAAGTGGGGGTAAAAGCAAAATATTTTACTAATTTCCTAAGTCAGAAAAAAAGAGAAGAAAAGAGAAAGAAGGAAGGAAGAGAGGGAAGAAGCGAGGGAGGGAAAACAACAGCAACATGTTAAAACATGTCAACCTGGGCAGCGGATTTAGCTCAGCGGTTCGGTGGCCCGCCTTGCAAGCGCAAGGACCTGAGTTCAATCCTCGGTACCAAAAGAAAACAAAATGTCAACCTGTAATTGTTTATGATATCCTTTTCTCTTGACTGTAAATCTCTAGTTTGTCTCTAGTCCTTCTGCTCCTCTCTGCTCATTATGGTATTTTCATCTTCTCTTTCTCCTCCCTTTGGATACTTAGGGAGGGTAGGGCTTCGTGAAGGATATTTGAGAATTTTCTGAGATTATGCCATATGTATCTTGATAAGAGCCTCATTTGCACAAATGCACGCATTTATTTTTTCAAAATGGCATAAAGATTTGTACATTTTATTGTATAGAGTATCTGACTGTAGTTAATAGTATGCAAGCTGAAGTCTTTGGGAGAGTAATACGTTCACCTCACTTTGTTCTGCTTGCTCTGAGACAGGGTCTCACTAGGTAGGGAGCCCAGTCCAGTATGCAACTCATGACACTCCCAGCCTCCTAGTACTGAGAATACAGGAGTGCACCAGGCTTCGCCTTACTTTTTAATTAGTAAAAAATAAAATACACTGCTAAAACATGAAGAGACAGGTGACAAAGCAAGAATAGTAAGATGTAAAATGAAAATTACAGGGGTGGGCATATGAGTATTCACTACAAAAAGAAAAATCTTTACCTAGCCAGGAGTTTGGGTCACTGGTAGAGCACATGCTAAGGATGTATGTACAAGGCCCTGCTTTCAATCCCTGCCACCTCTGCCACCCAAAAACAGTCTCTAAACTTTGTTCTAAGTTTGACGTTTCTTTTTTTTTTTTCGTTTTTGGTACTGGGGCTGGAACTCAGGACCTTACACTTGTGAGGCAGGCAGCAGTACCACTGAGCTAAATTCCCGGCCCCTTGACATTTTTCATTATGTCATACTAGGGAGGAAAAATCAATAATGCTGCATTTAATGAGAAGATATGTTCAAAGGTCCTTATAACAGCTTAAAAAACACAACAAAGGGCTGGGGATTTAGCTCAGTGGTGCTGCCGTCTGCCTGGCAAGTGCAAAGACTGGAGTTAGATCCCCAGGACCAAAAACAAAACAATGAAACAACAAAACAAAAGCACAACAAAAAAGGACAGGACATATGGAGAATAATTTAAGAATCTCTACTAAGAATCTAGCTAAAAAAATGGAGAGATATCATACTCAGATTAATATTGAAAATAGGTCAATTTTCCTCAAATTAATCTATAAATCTTGGGCTGGGGATTTAGCTCAGTAGCACTGTGCCTGCTTCACAAGTGCAAGATCCTGAGTTTAATCCCTGTACCAAAAACAAACAGACAAACAAACACACAATCTATAAATCTTATGCAATCTCAATGAAAACTCTAAGTGGATTGTGCGTGTGCATGTGCATGTGCGTGTGTGTGTATGTGTGTGTGTGTGTATACACATACGCTCAACATTTGTAGGAAGTAACTAAGCAGGAAAAAAAAAATCCAAGAAAAGGAACCCCCGTAACACCAGCCACACCATGAAGGTAAAAGTGACAGAAACAGCAGCGTACACAGAAGGAATACAAGAACGCAGAGCCAGTGAGGCACATGAGGCAACTTGCTACCACTGAAGAAAGGGCAGGTTACTCATAATATTGGGGTATCAGGTGTGTTGTACAGAGAAAAATAAAAGCTGGGTTTCTCCACATGAAGGTGTTCAGAGAGCTAAACATCTAAATATCTGAGGTAAAATATAAAGATCATTCAGTCTAGATGCACAAAGCCTTGCATTTAATCCCTGGTAATATGAAGAAAACATAAGACAAAATACTCAGGGAGATTGGCCAGGGATTTAGCTCAGTGGTTCAGTGGCCTGCCTTATAAGCGCAAGGACCCGAGTTCAATCCCCGGTACCAAAAAAAAAACCAAAAAAACAAAATACTCAGGGAGAAAATCTTAATACCTAGTCATGGAAACCTTTTTGTTTTTTGTTTTTTGTTTTTTTGAGACAGGGTCTTGCTATAGTTAGGCTAGCCTTGAACTCACTATGTAGCCCAGGCTGGTCTCAAACTTGCAGCAATCCTCCTGCCTCAGCCTCCCCAGTGTTGGGATAACTAGTGCGCACCACCACAACTGGCATATGGGGAAAAACTTTTAAAACAACAACACTCCAAAAGCACAACTTATAAGTGGAAAATTAATGGGCAAGAATATCAAAACTAATGGTTTTTCTTCATGCAATCAATATCAACAATATTCAAGTCAGAACAACATTAAAAAAGAAGTTCAACAGAAAAGCAGACAAAGAATACAAAGAACATAGGCAAGCAAGTCAAGAGAATGCTGGAATAACAAGTAATGACGGGCTGGAGATTTAGCTCAGTGGCACCACGCCTGCCTGGCAAGTGCGAGGTCCTGAGTTTGATTCCTAGTATCAGAAAAACAAAACAAAACAAAAACGAATAATGAACACACAAACTTAATAGTATTCAGAGAAATTGAAATAAAAACAATAAAGTCACACTTTATACTCAATTAAAATGTGAAAATTAGAAAAGTGACAATACCAATTGTGGATAAGGTTGTAAAGCAATGAAAATTCTTGGGTACTACTGATAGGAGAGTAAGCAGTCTTCCAGTTTTACTGAAATTATGTATAAAAATGACCCAGTGATCTCACTTTGACCACTGTTTGACAGCAACTACAAGTTCAAAAGGAAATATGTATTTCATCTTTGAAAGGATGCATATCATAAGAGTACTAGACGCAACTGAAGCGTCCAACACCAGGAATGGATAAGTAAAACCAGGTATTCATTTCATGCAGGTGAAAAATAAACTAAATGTACACAGAGTAGCTCAGACAGATTTTTTATCTGAGTAATAAAAAGAAATTGAGATTTTAGCATTAATCCATTATATGAATTAAAATACACAATCATACAAAAAACCTTACAGAGTTTATAAGGGTGTATATTCGAGGATAAACACTACACAGCAGAGTTGATGTCTTTGTTGGAAAGGGGATAAGCGGAAATGGAAGAAAGAGAATCCCTAAGAGAGGGGCCGAGAGGCCATCGCCCAGACATGATGACAAGCACAGCAGAATTAAACAGTATGCTCTGTGCCTAAAACAGAAAGGAAAAATACAAAGAAAACATCCATACGGCTAAAGTTTTACTTTAGATTTTGTTTCGAGCAATTAATGAAGCTCGAGGTAGCTCAGGGTGCATGTTTAGCATGTGGAAGCAAAGCCCTGGGTTTAATTTCCAGTGATCAAAAACAAAACAAAACAAACTGAAAGTAGACAACAGTATAAGCTTTACTTGCTCCATAAAACAAACAGAATTTGTAAAGTATAATTACTTAAGTCAATACCGAACTACCAAACTCTCAATTACTTAACGACTGCAGACCAGCTGGTCTCCAACTGCCTAAAATTCACACATTTCATTGTACTAGACAGTGGTAGCAAGAGTGGAAACAATAATTAAGAGGTCACCAAGGCAGAGGGCTTGAAGTAAAGCCTAACATTAGAATTTTGAATTATCAGCCGGGCGTGGTGGCGCACGCCTGTAATCCCAGCACTCGGGAGGCTGAGGCAGGAGGATGCTGTGAGTTCGAGACCAACCTAGGCTACATAGTGAGTTCCAGGTTAGTTTCAACTACATAGTGAGAGCCTGTCTCAAAAAAAAACCCCCCCCCAAAAAATTTTTTTTGAGTTATCTATAATGAAAGTTGCATTTGAAGAATTAGCTGCTACTAATAATCATACATTAGATAAAATGGAAAAGCAGCTAGGTGCAGTGGTACACTCCCAAATCCCAGCACCAGCAAGGATGCCCTGGATTACACACGAAGACTTTCAATTAAAAATTTTACAAAGGAAAAGTAGTCTCCTACATTGCTAGTGGCTTCCCTCAAACACTGAAGGAGAAAAGGAAGAAAGGAAAGCCTGGAACACACTGTGAATGAATGGCTCCCTCTTGCCGAGGAGTTGCACCTACTGGAGGGCACTCACCTCCTGAAGGAGCTTTTAGAATACTAACCTTGCAGAGCCTCTCAAGTCCTTAAATTCTATATTGAGAAGAGGCAAGAAATTGCTTCTACAAAACGGACAAGTTGTGTTCAAATTTGAGTCATCTGCTGTCCATCCAGCCATAATTTCTTCATCATAAACTAGAGCTCCACAGGTTCTACATAGTGAACAACTTGACATCAAAACCTGAGAAAAGGAAAACAAGGACACTGAGATCTCTATAGTGAAACATATCTTAACAGACTATTCTGGGCCAGGTGTGGTGGTGCACACCTATAATCCCAGCACTTGGGAGGCTGAGGCAGGATTGCTATGAGTTTGAGCCCCAACTACATAGCGTAACCTTGTCTCAAACCAACCCCACCAAAGACCATGTTTTTCAGATAATCTTTTGACGAAATTTGGAAAACTTATACTATAGGCAAAGATATCTTGGTTCATGGCCTCACTTATATAAGATATCAAACAATTCAACAAAACGACCTTTTCCGGCCACAAGTCTCACAGCATTTTAAAAAATGCTACTGTTTAATTAAAATGTTTATAGCCATCTTAGAATCAGCAGCATATAGAGCTTTTACCTCCATTGCACAATTCTGATAGATGCTAGACATGCTGGTATTTTGAGAGGAGCCATGGTCTGATTTTTCAAAGTCCTGTCCCTTTGTGCCTCTTGGAAATGGAACTTCACCTAGAGAGGAGCAAACATAAGAAGAGAATGTCCAGGGCTAGGGATTTCTCAGTGGCACTGTGCTGCCTTGCAAGCCCAAGGTCCTAAATTCGACCCTCAGTACCCCCAAAAAACCAACAACAGAAAGAAGAGTATGTCCTTATGCTTTGGAAATACATGTTAAATATTTATGAGGTATCATGATCTACAGTTTATTTTCAAACAATTCAAATATAGAAATACATAGAGATGCGTACACATAGATAAATTTAATAAAAAATTAAATCTAGGTAGAGGGTACATAATTGTTCATTACACAATTCTTTTTTTTGGGGGGGTACCAGGGATTGAACTCGGGTCCTTGCACTTGCAAGGCAGGTGGTGGAACCACTGAGCTAAACCCCCCGGCCTCATTACATAATTCTTTCAACTTTTTGGGATAATTGGGATTTTTCATTAAAAAAAGTCAGAACAAGAGCCTATAATATTTTAGAATAACAAAGTTATGAAATTTTAATGATACAGCCCAGAGATACATAAAATCTGGTTCAAACAATGATCTACTCAGAGAAATAGTTAAAAATACAAGGCCCCGCCCCACCTACTTAAGTCTTAAAAGTTTTAGCCTAAGGCTCAGACACTTGTGTGAGTGTGTGTGTGTGTGTGTGTGTGTGCGTGCGTGCGTGTGTGTGTGTGTGTGTGTGTGTGTGTGGAGACATATCCCCCTTCCTGGTACTGCGGGTCAAACTCAGGACCTTGTGCTGTGAGGCAGGCACTGCGCCACTGAGCTACATCCCCGGACCTTGTATATATTCTTAATCAAATTCCCTAGATGACTTTGATTCTAAACTTGAGAACTAATGATATAACCCACAAATATATACATCTAAAATTAAACACAATAGGTTTCTCTACTACTTGGAGAACATATAAAATCAGAGTAATAGAAAGGCGTGGCTATTATAAAAATCTGTTATCATTAAAAAAAAGAGAAAAACAATAAAAACCTAACATGATCTGGACAAAGGGGGAACACGGGTGGGAGGAGTGGGCATTTAAACAGGAAGGAGAGGGGTGTGGGGTGAAAACCCTTTCCCATACTTGTTGGATAATGGGGTTTTCCAGCATCTCCACTGCTGCTACTACTGCCAAGGCTTGTGTTGCTCTGGGTAAGTTCACTGGCGACCAACCCCGAAATACTTGTATTAGGAGATACATTCTCCCCTAAAATATGGTCTTCTAGGCCAGCAGGGAAGCTGTAATCTTTAATCATTTCTTCCTGGAATTGAAAAGAATGAAATTTCACATACATTGTTAATGCATTCCTAATGGGACTACACCTATTTAACTTGTTCCAGAATTAAACAAATCATCCTTAAATTTTAAAAATTACGAATTTTCAACTCGTTACATGAAGCATCCTTTCCACTCTTGAACTTTCAAGAAGTAATGCAATACTTTAGGAAAACCTGTGTTGCGCTAGGTGAGTGTGGAGCTGACGTTCGGTCTCCAGTGGAACAGAGCCCGGTGGGTGTGGAGGAGACTGTGGGTGAGGAGCTCAGCTCCCCAACAGCGATTAGCACACACTTTCCAGAGACTACTGAACTGCTCTTTTGGCGGGGGGGGGGGGGGGACGACCCAGAATCGAACTTGCTGCAAGGCAGACAGCAGAACCACTAAGCTAAACCCCCGGCCCTTGAACTGCTTGCTCTTTTAATGTCATGATTTAAAACACATGGGTAATATGAGACTGCCACTCAGAGATCAGTTGGGAACCTGACTGTCTATAATAACTTCATCAGTATTAGAAGAAAAAATATGAGTAAGGTTCAAACACTAATTATAGTTCTTAATTATTATAAGTGACTCAATTGTTAGATAGAAAAAAAGTATTTTAATAAGCAGTTTTCTTTTTCTTTAAGAGGAAAGATTTGTATCTTTGGTGTAAAACCATGTAGATGACTTTTAAATTAAATACAGACAGGAAAACAGAAAATGAAAGACACAAAAACAGCAGTCAAAGAGTACAATCAAAATCTTGATCTATTCTTCTACTCATTTTAAAAAATGCACATGCAATCATATAACAAACTGTTATAAGTTAGAATAATGGGTGTTTTTTGTTTTTGTTTTTGTTTTTTTTTGTCTGACAGGGTCTCATTGTGTAGCCAAGTGTGGCCTTGAATTCACTATGTAGCCCAGGCTGGCCTTGAACTTGCAGTGATTCTTACTGCCTCAGCCTCTGGAGTGCTAGGACACAGGCATGCACCATCACACCCAGCTAGGATATTGTTTGCAACCCACATTTCTCATGTAATTTAATGTCAAATCCTCACTTTATTTTCTTCTGCATTATTAAACTCCTGTAAATTAATTCATAAATCTCCTATTGCTTAAACATTAAAAATGCTTCAAGTCTTATATAAATTATGTTGATGATTCTTTTAAGCACATATTCCTATTTCCTTAGGTTAAACCCTGGATAAAATTTATAAACATTTTACAGTTTTTGCTTCATTCCTTCAGCTGCAAATATTTGTCAACTATATCTTATTTACCCTTTGCCAGGTGTTGTTACTGCTGCCTGGCTATGGTGATGAAAAGATAAGACACCTTTACACTGTCACATATTTCAAGTCCAAATGACCATAAAAAGTATTTCTTAGCTGGGCATGGTGGCACACACCTGTAATCCCAGCATTCCCGAGACTGAGGCAGGAGAATCACCACCAGACTGGGCTAGAGTGACATCTTCTCTCAAAATAAAAAGAAAAAAATTTAAAAGTATTTTTTAAACACTGTTAGATAAAATTTCAAAAATAAATGGTTCACTCTGTTCTTCATAATGCCAGGTTAACATACTTCTGAAGTTATTTTGCCTCTCCTTGACTGGCTTTTGTAAACTCTTTAATACAAAATTCAGAGTTGGGATTATAGCTCAGTGGCAGAAAGCACTTATCTAGTAAGCACGAGGCCCTGGGTTCAATTTCCAGCCCCCCCAATGCAGTTTGTTGTAATGTTCAATAATGTAGTGCCCCAACCCCCTGGTACTGGGGATCAAACTCAGAACTTTGCACTTGCCAGGCAGGCACCATGCCAATGAGCTACATCCCCTTCCTTAGTATATACTTTTTTTTTTTTTGAGACAGGGTCTCACTATGTAGTTGAGACTGACCTGGAACTCACTACGAAGCCCAGGCTGGACTTGAACTCTTGAGTTCCTCAGCCTCCTGAGTGCTGGGATTACAGGCATGTGCCACCACACCTGGCAGTATTGTACTTTTAAATGAAGTAATATTCTGCATATAATATTTCTTCCAATAGAATGCAAGTCATATCTCTTTTCCTGTGTCTCTACTTTCCATTTAGAGCTTTAACAATCTGACATCGTATTATCTTGGAAATGCATGACAGATTAAGCATCCACATCTCTTCACGCTAGTCTCTCAAATATGTCATTCTGCCGGTTTATTGTTCTTACTAACTGAAAATTTCAAATTCATCCTTCAAAGCTCAACATAGGTATTATCTTCTTTGCTTTTTCTGGACAGTCTCTAATCCCCTTTTTTGGTTTTCAATGTCTTCTCCTAAGATATTGCTTCTAAGGTTAAAAGCATGGACTCCAGAACCAATTCCTGTGACTTCTACTTGGGTTATCTTGGGAAATTAATTAACCTGTCTAAATGTAACTCATTTATAAAATGAAGATAATACTACTACTTCATAATGCTGTTATGAAAATTGAATGTATACATATTCTGTCTATTCATATGAAAAATACATAGCCTATAATAGTACCTGGAACATATTATTACAATATTAATAGCATTTACAGACATCTTTTTTTCCTCTATAGAGAAAAGTACTTCAATACTCTACAATTCTATAAATATATAATTCTGTAAATCCATAGATTTCATCACATTATTTTTTTAAAGGCAGAAAAATTTCCTACTCCCAAATTCATAAAAAGATCTAATGATTAACTCTATTTACAAAGATTTTTTAAAGACAATCATTTTTTGTAATGATATATGAAATCTACAGATTAAGCTTCATCATATATTAAGGGGATAAAAAAGGTAAGATTTAAAAACTGAAATGCTATACAAATATAACATGGCATTATTATTAATTTCAAATACTAATCACTAATGGTTTCAAAGAAATAAATTTAATGTTTTAATTTAGAATGATCTATGGAATTAAAAGTAATCCTAATATTCTACTTCTACATTAATTTCCTTACAAATATGTTCACATCATCTTAAGAAAAAAATCAAAATAGGCATGAAGTTTTAAAAATCAAAGTTACCATCAATCTCTAAATTGTGTGGATATACTAAAGGCACTACAACACCTACGTAAAACCCACACATAAACTTTCTCACCTCATCATCTGAGTAGCTGTAGGCAGATGCTACGGCCTCCCACACCTTATTGGCTACTGTTGCTGCCTGTTTCATACCAGATTTGAGGACATCTATCTTGGGTCCTGAGAGTATATTATCCAGCTTTAGCCCTGACAAAGAATTTACTACAGAACCTAGTGAGCCATGTGGAGAACGCATCAACGCTGATAAGGAAGTGGAACGATCTTTGTAAGTTCGATGGGGAGTCTGCTGCTTGAAACGAGCAGTGAAAGTTTTAGACCTGGACACCGCAGGGGAACTCTTTTCACTTTCAGGATTCTCTTGTGCTGGCGGACCATGATCTAAAGGTAGGCTTGATCTCCTCTCTAACGGATGAAGAAATGCAGCAGTATTGCCAGGTTCACTGTTTCCGTCTCCGTGCAATTCCATACTGGAAGATTTACTACCCAGGGGACTTTTTAGGTTCATGTAGCTTTCGATTTCATCAGCCAGATTACGTGTAATAACTGGAGAGAACATCTTATCCTCAGAATCCAGAATGTTCTCTTCTGTACATTCAGTGGCTAAAAGAGATAAAGGGTCTAGTCCAGCTTCAACATCCTCCCTCTCAACAGCTTTAGCAGCACTGTACAAACTGCTTCTCTTATTCACTCGATCTTCCGTGCCTGGGCCCAAGTCTCTGGACTGACTGCTGCTGCAATCATTTTGTGGACTGTCGCACACAGCCTCTGCCCGGGCAGTTCTGGCCGCACTGTCACCATCCGCAGGCTCGAGGAGCTCTTGGCTTTCCTCCAGCATCTCCAACACAGCAGGCGCCCTGTGCTCAGAATCCCAGGGGCTCTCGGACCCGCAAGTCCGTGACTCAGGCAGAGCACAGCTAACGTTCTCAAAGCTCTGGGCCCTGGCAACACGGGGCGGAGAAGTCTTAGGACAGCTCAGGGCTGCTGTGAGAATCTTGGCATCCGCGCCCATCATAACAGCCGCTTCACTTGGATTCGAGTCCAAACTGCTCTTCTTAAGTAACATGCCTGCTCGACTTTCAGAGCTGAAGCTACAACTTCTCTCTGAAAAATGTTTTTGTCTTTTTTCTCCTTTGTCACCATTCTTCTTAAGATTGGCGACTTCATCAAAGACTGCATCTTCAACTGGATTCTGAGTAGAAAACAGCACATTTGATGTACTCCCTAAAAGGAAGAGTCAAATATTAAAGATGAATCTCTACTTTCCAGTGTAACTTAAATAAAAAGGTTTATTTTTCTGATTGTGAAAATGACACACATTAAGAATAAGATTCAGAAAATCTAAAAGGTACACAGAAAAAGTAACCCCAAGAGACCCAGTCAACTGCCTCCCAGAGATAAAATTTTAATGTAAAATCTGCTTGTATCTCCTATGCATAGAAGTACCCATTAACAAGCATATTTATAATTTTATACTGTTCACTAAATCTATCACATTTATTAATAAACATAGGTCTATTCTTATTCCTTACTTATTCTTATTTCTTCTTTTGAGGGTCAATGTTTTGTTTTGTTGGTACCGGGGATCGACTGAAGGTCAATTTTTTAGAAAACCACTCTGACTCAAATGAAACAATCTTTCTACCTTAGCTTTCATGTATGCCATTCAGCTGAGACTTGCCAGAAGGCTGAAGATGAAGCTCAGAGGGAGTATGATTGCCTATCACCTGTGTGACTCTGGGTTTGGTCCCCAGCACCACAAAACAAGAAACCAAATAAATATTTGCCAGAAATCTATTCTACACAAGAAAAATTATAATATTAGGGGAATCAGACATTTGTCATAGCCAAAGCACTATAATATTCTAAGGTTTATAAAATCTTGAGCAGTCAAACATTTCTGTTCACACATTCATTCCTTCAGCAAATATCTGAATGACCACTAGTACTCACTAAACGTGGTGCTACGACACACAATGGCAAATCAGACATGACTGTTAGAGAGCAGTACTCCATCAAGTCAGCAGAGGTCCTGCAGCAGCCTTAAGGATCTCCCCTTGCTGCAGGGGAAGTAAGTAGTCTTTTATTCTTGCTTTTTTTTTTGGTTTTTCTTTGGGTACAGGGATCGAACTTGGGTCCTTGTGCTTGCAAGGCAGGTGGCGGAACCACTGTAGTCTTTTATTCTTTATTGCTGTCCAATTTTTATAGTCGAAGATCAAAAGCTATTTCCTATAGTTACTAAAATTTAAGCTCACCTATTAAGGGTGGAATATTTGTGGCCCCTCAAATTTATATGTTGAAATCCCACCCTCCAGTGTGACTGTACAAGGGGGGAAAGCCTTGGGAGATAATTAGGTGACAAAAGTGGAGCCTTCATAAGTGGGATTAGGACTTTCTGCTTAGCGAGGGTATAAGCAGGAGGCAATCAATCTACCGCCCGGAAGAAGCCTTCAGCAGAACCCACCATGCTGGTTCCCTAATTCTGTACTTTCCAACCTCCAAAGCTGTAAGAAATTTAAATTTCAAAGTTCTTTCAAATCTTTCAAATTAGTACTTATTAATCATCATAATCCTATCAATTAATCAGAGCTAATGATTTTTAAAGCTTTTAGGAGAATTAAACTAATGTGTTTTACAACTCTAACCTGTTTTACAACTCTAAAGTTTATACCTGCTTTGAAAACTACTTCCAACATATGAGAAACAGATCTCTGCACATAGTACTGGCCCTCCCTGTACTCCTGGGAATTAACAGGAAGCACGCCACTCAGCAGCTCACTTTCCTTTCAATATTCTCAGAGGATTCGTTATGGAAGAAAACTTCTGCCCTCCTTTCTCCCACCCTCTTGCTAGGAAGAGAAAGATCCTGACTTTATATTTACATATAAATTATTTTCTCAAACATCTAGCACCACCTTTAGAAAAATAACAGAAAAAATTCTTAATGAGCTCTATTTGGTATCACAGTGTAAACAAAGTGAAAAAAAACCTGATAGTCAACTTTAAAGAAATAAGCTGTATCTCCTACTAAGAAAAGGCAAAGGACACAGACTGCTCTCACTGTCCCTTAAATTTCTGTATTTGAAGTGCTCCTTCAGGGCACTGGAAGGCCTGCAATCGAACCTAAAGCAAGAAACTTGAACCAAAGGGAGCTATACATACAGTATGGTTGCTCATCAAAGATGGGAAGAGGCTCTGGGTACCTACAACAAAGGGGCCAAAATTAAAGACCCACTGGTACATTTGCGCCCAGAGACAGGAATTACACTGCCCATATGTAAGCCTTCCAGGATCTGATCACAACATTCCATGTTCTTGAGTACAGGTGGCCTCTACAGTACCCTCACGACTACGATGAGAATAACCAAACTGAAACCAGTAACTATGACAGGGAAGACATTCCAAACAACAAGCATACACAACCACTGTTTAACAAATTAAATGCAGGTGGTCCCTCTGTATCCATGGGAGACCAGTTCTAGGAACCTCTAGAAACACTAAAATCACAGATGCTCAAGATCCTTGTATAAAGCAGCATAGTATTTGCTATGTAACATACATACTCTCGTATGCTTTAAATCATCTCTAGATTAAATTACCAAAAACAATGTAAATAAATCTGTACATGTTGAATACAGATGGAATTCTTTTCTAATATCTGATCCAAAACTTGCCAGGTATGATACAGAGGGTCAACTGAACCTACCTTTTTGGAGGTAGGGGGTGGTGCTGGGGATTTAACCCAAGGAGCTGTGAGCTATAACACTGGTCATTTTAAATCTTATCTTGAGCCAGGGTCTCATTAAGTTGCACAGGCAAGGTTGAAACACACAGTGCTCCTGCCTCGGCCTCCCAAGTAGCTGGGATCACAGGTGTGCTGCACTGTGCCTGGCTCCTACTGTACCTCTCAATAACTGCGTTCTAACTTTTTAAAGACCATTTACAGGAATCAGACATATTTCTGGCCCTTTAGCATGTTCACTATAATTTAACAATTTAGTGTCATAAAGACAAATGCATATTCTAAATATTTAATAACCAATAGATAAAAACTTACCAGTACTACTTTTCCTGTTGCTGATATCAAATATGCCAGATGGGGCTCTCACAATGCTGCTGCCACATGAAGGCGGTTCAGGAGGACTCTGAGGCTCCAGTATAGGCTGTGAATATCTTGCAGTAAGAGCAGAGGCATCACACACCTCTAGAAAAAGAATACCTGGATGTTATCATTACTACTTCTGACAATACTGCAGAGAACCTATATATAGATTTTTTTATATGTGTGTTTTTCTTCTTTAAGTGGAGAGTAAATACAATTTCGGGTGTCTGGTTTACTTTACATCATGTGTCACCAGTATTGACTCATATAAATACTTTATTTTAGCACTTAATAACCCTAACTTGAGTATTCTTGAGTGAATCACGTACGTCTCTGGCCTTCAGTTCTATTTCTCATCATTCAGCAAGCAGGAGAGAGACTTGTTTCTGTATAGCACCATGAAAGAACATGGCGGTTTGTGTAAGAATAAAAGGGACATCATATTACCACAAACTAAAATCTTCCTCTGTATTTCCAGCAAGTGATTACAACAACTTATATCTCAATGAATCCCCCAAAAAAAAAAAACAGGAAAATGCCTCAGATTATTTGTAACCCACCAAAGAAAAATATCTACTCAATTATTTTATGGGCTTTTAGTGGAAAGGCATTTTAAAAGGAAAACTGAAATACAGGTTTGATGACTCAAAGTTTGACCGTGCTGGGTTCTTTGCACAGCAGCCATACAACTTTGACAAATGCACAGCTCAGTGGATTGCATTTTCCTTTAAAATTCAGGGAAACCTACATTCTCTACAGGTTTGTTAAATACTAAACTTCAGAGACTATCAAAATCTAATAATACTTTGTACTAATAATAGTACATGGTATCTTAGGAGATAGACCTCACATTTCTGGAAATTATCACCAAATATGAAATAAGATAAACTTTAAATTATTACTGATATTCTTCTAAATAATACTCAAATGTCAGTATACAACCTTCTTTTTGCACTTTTGTTTTAGTTATCAATTCTTGTGCTACTTCTTCAGGTACACGAATTTCATCCTTTATAAGTTCATCCTTAGACCCATATCCTTGGTCAGACTGGCCACCTGTTAAAAAGAATACAGGCTTATAAATATTTTTTTAAATCAAAAGAAAATTATACTGATCAAATCAGGCACGACGGCACATACCTATAATCCCAGCACTTGGGTGACTTAGGATATCACTGAGAGTTCGAGGCCATCCTGGGCTACACAGTGAGTTCAAGCCCAGCCTGAGCTATATAGCGAGTCCCTGTCTCAAAAGGGGTGGGGAAAAATGTGCCAACAAACACGAAAACAAGAAAATTCTAAGGTCTACACAGTTCACTGTGGAGAAAAGGAAGACAGTGAAACTCACAGGTACAAATAACATTTTAAGAACAGTGATAAGCAAGTAACAGTAGAAATAGGAACATCAAAGACCTATATTTGAAAGTAGTGAACTTTAATTTCCTCGCCTATGAACTGGAAAAGATTTAGGCAAGATGCTTTTAAAAGGTAGCAATCTACAGACTTTCTCCAATGTCTACAGGCTGCTTTTTTTTTTTTTTTTTTTTTTTTT